GCATCTCAACGGAAACCCGTAAATTTTCTCCCGCATCTTTCCGCGGATAAGGGAAACAATCCATGGACACGGATGCGGGAGACCACCATCCAACCGTAGCCGCATACATTTTAACAACAGTTTGAACCAACTGGACGAAATTGTTCAAACATGGCCGGCTTTCATATAAACACGTCGGATTTCATTACATTTACAAGAACTAAGTGGTGTTGGTCCGGCTCTAGAGGTATAATTAATACCTAATCTAAATGATCGCCGGCGACCGTTCCTGTGTCCGGCCATGAGCCCCGAGAACTGAAGCTTCGCCTTCTCCAGTTCCGCCTTCAGAGCCCCGGGAACTGAAGTTGTCCACCTCCACGTGGCCGTCAAGAGACTAATAGACCGACGATGTTGAGCCCACCAAGCTTGGCATCGACTGGAGGGGAGGAGCAGTGGCCTTACTGGGACACCAACGATGGCAACCTACCATGCACTACTCTTCCTCGTTGTCGGCGGCGCCCGCGGACGTGTCGGCTTTGTGGTCATGGCGTCGGGGTGCGGCCTCGGTGATGTCCTCCTCCTCCTTGTCGGTCTCACCGAACACCGCCTCGCCCGCCTCATCGCACTCCTTGTAGGCGGTCGCCACCTCCGCCACCCACTGGCGGTACCGCCAGCGGGCGGAGCGGTAGGAATCGAGAGCGCCTCCTGCTCCACCAGGTCCACGTCGGGCGTGACTGCCCTGCCGGCGGCGAGCTGCTCCTCCGCCTGCAGGCGCTCCTTGAGGAGGTGTGGTTGTAGGAGGCAATGGCCTACGCTTTTCGGAACTGCTCCTCCCGCACCATGTCCCATGTAATGGGTACGGGCCTCGCCGATGGTCATGGTGCAGTGCACAGGCAAGGGTGTCACCGGCTGGTCGTCGGCAGCGTCCTCCATTGGGACGTCGTCGTCCTCCGGCTGCCTATCGCCAGCCAACCGGCAGTAATGGCGGCCATCTCCTTCTTATGGTTCGGCGTCAGCCCGTCCCAGAGAGATTTGGCGGGGGAGGAATCCATGGTGGGTGTGGTGCGGAGAGGGGTTGGAGGCGGATGATTGCAGCTATGGTCGGGCAGCGGTTTAGCAATGGCGGAAGGTAGAGGGGCGGACGGGTGGCACCGGAGGAGAAACCTTGGCAACCACGTGACATCAATGTGGATGGCAGACAGACGGACAGGCGGCCGTCGTGTCGTTTGAACACACAGTAGTCGCCTGCACTAGGTAGCTGTCTGGCCGCTCTCTCAGCCGGTGCGCCGCTTCAATGCTGGCACCAGTGAGCGGCTGCATCCGCTCTGGTCGGGTACAAATGCGGACACTGACGTTCTGGAGCGGCGTTGACCGTCTCGGACGGGAACACGTGCAGGCGAGGAAGGAGGGGTTTGGGTTGGCCAGTGTGGTCAGAACTTCAGGAAAGCCCTTCATGTTTGTCTCCGGTTTGCAGAAAAACACATCCAAACCGCGCCGCGAACTGATACAGGACCACGTTGGATGGCTTTCGCTACCCGGACACGCCGGACTGCGCGGTCTAAATAGACGAGGGGGGTTTGAGGGTAGTTGGAGATGCCCTTAGAGACAAGTAATTTGAGTCCGCCTATTCCACGCCTAGTGCATAGGACAGTTGAGGAAACACAAATGCGTGCATTCCTGGGTCGAACCATTACTGGTTTGAAACCGATTTCTTATTCCAAAGATTTTGTTTTTAAATTTTTAACCAGTTTTTAAAATGGGAAAAGTATTGCTGAAAATGAAGAATTGCTGATGTTTGTATAAACAAAAGGTTCATGTATTTCTAGAAAATAGTTTGCACTTTTTTAAAAATATTCACATATATTTCGAAAAGGTGTTTAAAAAGCATCCAAGGAGAAAAACGAACATAAATGGACAACAAAATGGTGGAAACCGAAACAAAAAAAGGAAAAAAGGAAAAGGAAAAACACAAAAAGCAAAAGAAAGTAAACAGAAGAATTGAAAGGAACAAAAATGGGGACTGCTACGCGTTCGTCGGCTGATCGTTTTTAAAGATCGGCCGGCTCGCGGGCCATTAGATCTGACGCATCGGTGCCCTTCATCATTGCAACATAGGTCTTGTTGTGAAAAACTTGTGCAACAGAGGTTTTGTTACATAATTTTTTGCAACTGAGGTTTCGTCTTCATCATTTTGCAATTTCTTTTTGCAACTGAGGTTTTGTTGCAGATTTTTCTTTTGCAACAGAGGCTTTGTTGCAGAATTTCTTTTTTCGTCTTTGTCTTTTTGCAACATAGCTAACGTTACGGAAGAAACTTATGCAACATTGATGATGTTGCAGAAGTTGCAAAAATATCATCAGGAGCCAGTGGCATGTCACGTGGGACACATGTTGTGCGAGCAAGGTGGCGGATGGGTTCTAAGAAATCAGCCGGCTGAGGGGAATGATTTCCCAATAAAAATCAAGGAAAAATCGAGTAAAGAATCTGCCCAATAGACTGAATCTACCATCTATCAAACAGGCTGAATTAGTGTAGCAGTTGAGCGTGCATCTAGGAGCGAAGAACGGGTCACACGCGGCCTGCAGCTCCCATGCCTACCAGTGCGTGACAGGTGGGCCCGCTGGGATCAGCTCGCCCGATTCCACGAGAATCTCTCCCCTGGTGCCTGGTTTGTTACTTCACTCCCTCTCCTTGTTGTACTACTGTCGCTCGATCCCCTCTAGAACCCCTATTCTTGTTGCTGTTGGCTGGGTCATCCAAGATCGATGGGGTCGTCGTTTAAGTTGGAGTGGGGGCCGGCGATCTGCATGGTGCTCATCGAGCTGTTCACCACGGGGCAGATGCTGCTCACCAAGGTGGTGGTCGACGCCGGGCTCTTCGTCTTCGCCCTCCTCACCTACCGCTTCTTCCTCGGCGCCGCCCTCGTCGTCCCTCTCGCCCTCATCTTTGAGCCGTACGTCATCGCTGCTCTACTCACCACCCGTGCATCTCATCTTCAAGATTTTATTATTACTCCTCCGATCCATATTAATTGTCGCTCGTTTAGTATAAAGTTGGCGGAGGGGTACTTATTTCTGCATGCATGCATTCCTGGTCGATCTAAAGCTAGCTAGCTATCTTCATGACGTAGGTGATCGAATTCCTTCTTTGCACTTACATTGATTTGTGGTTCGTGTGTGCCTATGGGTATGGGTGGATGGCGTGTTGGGTTTGCATGTTGCGTTCGCCGTGTTACTCGTACGTAGTCTGCAGGCATGTTTAGCTGGACAGGCCGTTTGTCTTCTTTCCTGGCAGCCGAAGAAGCTACTGAGTTTTGGCGGTGGGAATTGTAAGCATATCAAATCTGATATGGATGCCACGCCGCACATATGTTCCCAAGGGTCTATTTCACGAGTCTTCCACGACAACAACGCAACCTTGTGCGCCCGCCGGTTGCTCAACGTCTCCTATAAGTAGTATGGACGGTCATCGCATCTTTAGGGAATCAAGGTGAAGTAATGGCTACACCCCCGGCCGAAAACATACCAAAACATTTTTTTTTAAATCTGAAACTTTGTGGCAATTATTATGAATAAATGTTATAGGTGTTTTTCAAGGTTTGGTGGTCAAATGACATCCCAGGAGCTCTGTAAAAAACAAATGTTATAGAAGCTCTGTCATTTGACCACCAAACTTTGCAAACACCTATAGCATGTATTCGTAATCATTGCCACAAAGTTAGATAATATGGTCTACAAGTAACACTTATGGCGCAACAACGAAAATTACGCTCCGAAATTAAAGCTGATGACATGAGATAAACTAGCTGGCAGTCTAGCACCACCTGATGATCAGAAATTACAATATGCATGATCTTTGCATTTATATTGATCTGTTATGTTCTTCCCTGCTGGACCAATATATGGTTTGTGTTTGTCTATGGCATGTCTGTCCATTGCGTTCACCGTGTCGCCAGCATGTGTACTGTACTGTGTAGTCTCCAGACCAAGTTTAGCTAGACAGGCTGTTTGTCTTCTTTCATGATGGACAAGGAAGCTACTGGGTTTGGAGGCGTGGGAATTGTAAGCATATCAAATCTGATATGCCACACATAGTTTCCCAGGATCTCACTAGTCTTTCATGACAACAACCTTGCATGTTTCTCATTTGGTTACTTACCAGTACGGGTTTAGCTCATGGTGTCTTTGGAAGTCCGCCTCCGCCGAACGAGTATTTCACCACGAAAGGCTTACAAGGAAATTCCACTAGTATCCTACAGGCTACGTGATAGAGGTTTAGCTCATTACTCGAATGAAACCAAGTCTACAACAAAAGACTAGGGAATTACTTTATCAATTAATTGGAAGAACGGAAGATATACTCTTCATAGGTCATACTCGTTTACCAGTCTGAAATGTAATGAAATCAAAAACTGAGAGAGGAAAATAGACAATATGGTCTAGAAGTAACATTCACGGTCGCAAAAATGAATACTACGCTCTGAAATTACATCTGATGAGATAAATTAGCGATGCCTGATGATTATATAACTTGCACATTTTTTAGACAATTGTTTGAGCATTGATATCGATACAAAGTCCAATCAAATTGTCTGCAAAGGTGCAAAGTGCACAATATCCCAAGAAGTGGAGGCATGTAGCTAACAGAGCAGACCCTAAATCAGAAAGATTAGAAAGTACAGCTAATTAGATGCAAACACAAGTTCTCTGTGTAGCTAACAGAGCATGCACCGCCGATCCAAATTCAAATCTTTAATTTATTTTTTTGATATTGAGGAATAACTCTCATATATATCCCTCGAATATAAAGAGAAAAATTAGAGGGTGTAAACATCATGCAAACACAAGTTCTCTGTACATGCACGCCACTAGCTCACACATAAAGAATGACAAGCACTTGGCTTGGTGAGTTAGAGCCAGCACTCCCCTCCCTCCCCGTAGCTTTGCCACTCCCTCCCTGTAGCTTTGCTCAAAGGCTATCTCCAATTCTCCATCACGCACGTCCAGCGACAGATATACCCAATGGGGGGCTCGACGAACGTGAAGGAATGGTGGCCTGCCGTATTCATGGTGTTGGTCCAAATTTTCACGACAGGGTTGGTGTTGCTCACGAAAGTGGTGGTGGACAGTGGGTCACTTGCTTGGACCTTGCTCACATACCGCTTCTTCCTTGGCGCCATCTTGACCGTCCCCTTGGCGATGTTCTTTGAGAAGTTAGCTCTAATTAACTATTGTTATTTTAGCACTGTTATTTTAGAAGGTTGTCATATGACAGGAAACATTTGGCAGTGATTATGAAAATTCTTCGTGATATAGAAACATTTTGCAAATGATTATCTGTTTACTTACCCTCATCACCTCATGTAGAGGGAGGTTGAAGGAGCTTAAATTGAAGGCATTCATATGGATTTTCACCAGTGCACTTGTGGGGTTAGTCATTTCTTTCACATCTCAGTTCAGCAATGGTTCTGATAAATATCTACCCACAAAGTAGTAGTGATTGTTGCTTTCTCCTTCCAGATTCACAATTCCTGGTCTCTACTACATTGGCCTCGGAGACACATCGCCAGGATACGCGATAAACTTCTATAACATCATCCCAATTGCCACCTTCATCCTCGCGGTCCTTTTCAGGTAAACATGGTGGAAATATAATGCAGCACCTACCAGGAAAGAACTGCAACAACTGTATGATCTTTTTTTCAGGAAGGAGTCACTGGACATGAGGAGCCTGGTGGGGAACATCAAGGTCATTGGAACCCTAGTCTGTGTTGGAGGAACTCTGGTGATCAGCCTGTACAAGGGCAAGGTGCTGCACCTTTGGCCCACCAATATCATCGGCTACCACCCGAAGCAAGCCGGAGCTGCGTTTGGTCACCACCATGTGCGTGGAACCGTCTTGCTCATCACCAGCTGCCTCAGCCTCGCCGTTTGGTACACAGTACAGGTATACAACAAACATATAAGCAACAACTCACTATTGCAAAATCCCAAATAAATAGTATTACGTATGTATCATTAATTTTGTATATGTATTTCAAGCAAAATTCAACTACTCCGACGAGGGAGTATTACCTTTTTTTAATTCTTATAAGCAAAGTGACCAATACAACTTAATTATATATGAGTTTGTAATGAGCAGGCTCAGATGCTAAAAGTGTTCCCATACAAGTACTGATCCACTGTAGCTACATGCTTCGTGGGGAGCATCGAAATGGCTGTCGTGGGGGTTGCCATGAACAGAGAAAAGGCGACATGGGCGCTCAAATGGAACATGAGCTTGCTCACCATTGTGTACTCGGTAAAACTATTCGGCTATTCCTTTTGTTGTGCATCAGTTCACTTTTTGGCTCTCAGTTGAAGGTCCTCATTTACATCGTCTTGCTGCAGGCAATACTTAACACTGCTGCCAAGTTTGTGATGATTTCGTGGGTTGTCACGCAGCGCGGGCCAACCTATCCGGCCATGTTTTGTGCCGTGTCGGTGTTCTTCACTACTATTCTTGACTCACTGCTTCTCGGCCATGATCTATCCGTTGGGAGGTATGCTTACCAGTTCTCCATTTTTTTTAAATGTAAATATTGGCTTATTTCTGAAAAATATGTAAATGTTGGGTAACGTTCTTAAGACCATGTTGTTTTTAGGAAAGAATTTCTGTATATACCAAGATATGCATTGCCAGTTACTAACATTGTCTTCCTAAATATTACCCATTGCTGAGTTTTCCTTGCAAATGATACTTTGCTCTGTTTACATGCGTGCAGTATTCTCGGCATGTTCATGATTCTAGCTGGGCTCTATCTTTTCCTCTGGGGAAAGAGAAAAGATTCGATACTACCAAGCGAAGAAAACCCGAAGGAGCAAATGTTGTTTGAGAATGAAGATAAGAACGATAAATCAGTTGCCAATGTATGATTACTTCCTTTGGTGATATTGCAAAAGGGACTATCCAGAAGTTTGTGTATACGAAACGCTGAGAGAGAGAAACTATATTGTCTATGTCAATACTTGTTGTGTTGTCCTCAACTACTCATCCAATTTAATCATCACGTAAAGAAGGTCAATATGAGAAATTGTTGATTATGTAGTTGTCTTCATTGCAATTGGCAAAGATTAAACCATGCCATGAAAATAGCAAAATGACACAATTAGTTCCAAGTTTTGTATTGTCTTTGTTTGGTTTTTATCTTAAGTCTCAATCATTGACCTTACATCATTTCTCCACCTGTGGCGAATCTAGGGAAAATGGAGGGCAGGCTCAAAGTTAACGACCGACCAATTTTGGACGAGTATAGGCTAGATCGTGATTGTGTAAGCTTGATGGTCTGCCGCTGATTGCCTGGGCTGGGCTGGGCCTAATACTAGTAGTAAAAAAATTGAATCCCTGGAAAGTCCCCCCCCCCCACACCCCACAATAGATTCGCCCCTGCTCTCCACTGCCTCATGCATTTCCCTCCTTCTATATGAAAGGATCGAGATGGAACTGGGGAAGGGGGGGTTCATAGGTCTCTAAAAAATTATGATGCTTGGAAAGTCAAGGGACCAAAGTAAAACACAAATTAACGAGCTACAGTTAGGGATAACCGAGGACACGTAGAGACGAGGACATATCCTGATGTTCACTTCCTTGGAGGGGAGCTAGTCATTGTTTGAGAGGTGAGAATCTACAAAGGAAACCAACACCACAAAGGCTCATCTTCTTTTCCTTGAGATGTCACCACAAAGGCAATTTCCAACCGGTCGTGGTAGACTTTGAGGCGGCCTCCAAACCTCTACAGACACATGGGTAATTCACAAGCACATTCCTCACCAAAGACTATAACTTTCTAAGAGTCTTCAACCTCCTAGAGTAAAAAGATCCACGGCGAAAGCTTGAAACTAGCTCAAATCACGAAATCAGTTGGTGGAGAGAGAGGGGGGGGTAGAATCCACTCTCAAATTCCTCACGAAATCAAAGATTTAGGATTGGGGAAAACTGGGGAACTTCTTCTTAGATGTGGTCTTGCAATAAATGAAGTGGTCAACACACCCAAGGGTTAGGTGACTTAGAGCAAGTATAATAAGGTGACGTAGGCAAGCTGTAAGACTTTAAATATATCTTTGCTGAGTTGGATGGGAGAGAATGTGAGAGAGAAGAGAAGCAGGTTGCAGATTTACAGCCATCTGTAGCACCGGTTCCAAGAAGCTCTGTGAGGGTGTATGATGGGCCATGTGATAAAACGTAGTACTTCCTTATAGCCCACTACTATACATGTTGGCTATTACATTTGCTAATGACATGATAACATGTTATAGTCATCGGTCGACTACATTAGGCTGGTCATAGTGGAGAGTAAGTTAGACTAGTAACATACATATGTTACTAGTCTATATTACTACCTTCATAGTGGGTAGTGTCATAGGTGTGGTAACATAGTTGCTTTCATTTATTATTTTGTAGACTCATTATGCATTGGAAACCGCTATCTGATGGTAACATATTATGTTACTCTATTTGCCTCTCTCCTCATTAACTACTTGTCACATCACCAATTTTGCTTATGTGGCATCTATGTTACTACCTATGTTACTCCCACTATGACCAGCCTTATTAACCATGCTCTTATGGTAGGAAAAGTACTAGCTATTTTCGGGGAGAAGCACACACTGGCCGAAATTGACAGTCGAGCCCAGCAGACAGATGCACCGACCAGAAGTCAGGGGTGTACAGTCCGGCCATAATTGGCTTGGATAGTCTAGCTCGTTGACCTCGTAATCTGAGTGCACTCAGAGAAGTCACGTACAGTTGGGTGCTTGTCCGTCTCAAGAATACCTTGGGGTCGAGCGCACCCATAAGAGCATGATTAATATTATAGCCAACAATCGGCTACATGAGGTTGCCACATTATCTATAGTCAATCTAATAGCCAATATGTACTACTTCATTAATAGATGGCCAACCTTATACTCATATTGTTTCTTGAAGCACGTGCAGCAGCCGGCTGTTAACCTACAGCTCGCTTCCCTTCTATTTTCTCTTCTCTTACATCCAACTTAGCAATGATATAATATTCTAATCCTTACGGCCTAGTGACTGTACTTATTATACTTGCTCTAAAAGGGTCGTCGAATAGTCCGGCATTTGTCCAACACAAACCAAGCGAGTCTCAGACAATCGCCCTGTCGGGCTATTGCCCGGCTACAAGAATCACTCACAGTAATAGCACAATATCGCCCTGTCTTTAGCAAGAACACTGCCTCTTGACCTAGGTTTTGTAAACTTCACCTACCCTAAGTCAGAGGCTCCAACCACTCACCAAGGGTACAAACTATACTGGGACATCTCAAGATGTTTAGACAGATATGGCTCGGAATGTCCAAATTGTTCTTTGAAACCAAACTTCACTAGCTTTAAGATTTTGGATAGAAGTCACTTTGAAGCAATCGAATGGGAGTAGGAACTTCTGTAGCATCCTATAAATGCCTAGACCACCCGATAGAAGGATCCAAAGGTCTGAACTACACTCAAAGTGACTCGGGCACTCTCTTGAAAGGACTCCGAGATTACAAAGACAATGCACTTGGAGGCTTCCAACATGAAAAACGCCCAGAAGATACAGCTCAAATTTCAGGCTCTTTTCAGCAGCTTCTACTCTACGAGCCCTTTCAGGAAAAACGCCCAGAAGATACAGCTCAAATTTCAGGCTTCTTCCAGCAACACCCCACAAATCGGAGAAGACGCCATGAGTTTTGGAGGTCTGACTTTGAGCACTTGGCAAAAAATATCTTCTCAAAATCCAAAACAAGTTACCGTTTCAAAGAACAAAGTCCAACGTCAACTAACATTATCCATAACATGTACTATTAAGGTCTAGATGCCGCAGAACAGTATAAATATTTGTAAAAGCATAATTTCTGGCTCCATGACCATGATACTTCTCCCTGGCACGAAAGATAACTCAGATGTACAGCCCCCAATTTCACAATATCACTTCTTGTCCGTATTTTTTTACCCCAAACCTACATTATTCTAAACTAACACAAATACACAAGTTATTTTAACAATGATTCAGTACCCAGTCCTTTGAGAACACCACAACCTATAACTATCATCGGTGCAAAAAATGTAGCAGGCGATATACAAATACAGCCATAGCATATAAATGCCAGTCAACACGGAGATATATACATCTACTGCTAACTCAGAACCGGGGATCAACTAACTACGAAGGTGCTCGATCTGGGTGAAGATTCAAAAGATTGGTCATGCCCACCATCATATGCCTGCATTCTGGTTGTTGCCAGCCAGGATGAGAGAGATCTCCAAACCTCTGCTGAAAGCCTGGTTGAATAGTAGCCGTGTCTGGAAGGTGGAGATGAAAGGAAACCAGGAGCAGATGGCTATGGGCACAAAAATGATCATTCCCATGCTAGCATCATACAGACGAGCCAGCGAGCGCACTGTTTTCCACAAACCCAATCTCTTCACAATTGGTTTCCATGCCACAGCAATCTGCAGAAGCAAAAACAGGATTGATAAAGATTTGGTTAGTAAGAAACTCTTGTATCCTGAAATTTGGAGTTGTTTTCTTGAGATAAAAATCTAGATGGTGCTTGAACAGTTGTATGGTAGTAAAGACATCCCCCGCCTGTCGAGCTAACAATCGAAAATGAACATGAACACCATTCTGTTACTATGCAAAGGTAAACCACATGGAAGACTTGACTAATAGGAGTATCATCTGTGTCATCATTCTATAAATCCTTTCATTAGCTACGCAACATTAGCAGATCCACTACCAAGTTTTAAGCTGCGTAATAACCAACCAGCCTTTATTATCCAGTGTTGTTTTGAACAATGGCACAGTTTCCGAAATGCGGCATTTCATGGTACCAAAGTTGTCACATGAAACTCACCGAAAGAATTCCCCATCCAGTAGGCACATATGCTAGGATGGAAGCAAGTACATCTACAACAGTGAGGTGTGTCCTCGCAATTGCCACAACCAAACCTGCCAAAACCACTAACAGTGCAATGCTTTTGACCAGACGCAGGAGCAACTGGAAATGAACCATGGCCTTGGGGTTTAAACTAAATACCTGCAGATTAATATAGAAAGCAACACAGGTGAACACTGCGATCAGTAAAAAAAAGTATGGCTGTTAAACATTACATCGCGAATACACATACCATTAGGA